GTGCAACAATGAATGAATGGAATTCCAAAATCTCTGTAGATGTTCATTGAAATGAAAAATAAACAAACTAAATTTAAAAAAAACAAAAAAACTAGGATATAATTTTCTAGCTAAGGACACAGATTATCTGAAGTAAATGGCATACCTGAGTTTACAGATTAAATTTTGACAATAAAACCTCAAACTGTTTTCTAAATTAAAAAAAAAATCAATCACTTGCCCATCATTACCCTGTCTTTTCCCCCGGATCACTGAGCGAATAAGACCATTATTGTAAAAATAGAAGGGTAACGAGTAAAACATGTATGGGAATTCAAGGGTGGGGAGGGGGAAGTGGAGAGGTGAGGATGGGTAGGGGATGAAATCACAGGGTTGAACAGTTTGATGGGTAGAGGGAGGGGGGAAGGAAAGGAGAAAGATTCGCTCAGACTCTTGATAAGACACTGCAATGGCACCCACTTCTCTCCCTGTCTCCACCCTTGTCCCCAGCTCCTAATTCAGAGGTCTTCCTAAGCAGCAGGTCTCCCTCGCCATTCCACGGCTTGCTGTCACATGCTGGCTCCCCATTGCTCTGAGGAGACACCCACGTTTGACCCCTGATTGGCTCCCTTTCTCTTCTGCCACCCCAGTCCTGGTGGTACCCCATATCTCATTCTGGTAGTCCTGGAATCCCACCAGACTCTTCCATACCTTCATCCTGTGCTTCTCCCTGAAGTAATCTCCCGTCTTGCCACCATCTGGCCAAACCCAAACCATCCATCAAAGTCTAATTCCTGTCCCAGTTCTCCCAGGAAGTTCTGCCAGCCTGCACCACCCCGTCAGCTCATACTCCAGCAGAGCTGGCTCTGGGCCAGGAGATGATTTGTCAGACCTCTTTAATTAAAGGCTAATGGGTCTCCTCCAGGGAAGAGCCTGAACTTGGTCAGAGAGGGAAGGAAGGGTTTTTCAGGCCTGGGATAGACAAATCAGGTGGGCACATCATGGACAGCAGGAAGTTGGGAGTCAGTAGGACATGCATGTGGGCAGGGGAGTAGCTGAGTGAAGTGTAGTCGTAGGATTTGGGGAGGTCAAAGAGCAGCGAGTGGGGATGGTCCTTGGTCAGAATGACATGAGGTACAAAATCGGGACAGGGCACTGAGTGAGTGTGGGGCTCAGTGAGTCCAGGCCATTTGGTGTTAAGTAGGCAGTGAATGGACATGGGTACAGCCTATGAGGTAGGCCCAAGATACTGGGGAGTGGGGCCCTGAGGGGGACCTTGGCTTGGTAGGACAGTCTCCCGTTTGACCCTCGCTACCCACAGGCGTGGTGCAGAGCATCAAGGACCACATCACAAAGCCCACGGCCATGGCGCGCGGCCGTGTGGCCCACCTCATCGAGTGGAAGGGCTGGAGCGCCCAGTGGTCCGGCTGGGAGCTGTCGTCAGCAGAGGACGAGCATTACTGCTGCCTTCCGGACGAGCTGAGAGAGGCCCGCTTTGCTGCAGGTCAGCGTGGGGGCTGGCAGGGATCTGCAGGGTCAGCCTGCGGGCACTGCCTGGGCAGCAATGGGCATGGGTAGACAGGACGGTGTGCAGCTTGTCTCACTGAGCTGTGCCTCACTCTCCCCCCACAGGGGTTGCTGAGCAGTTTGCCATCACAGAGGCCACACTGAGCGCCTGGTCCTCGCTGGACGATGAGGAGCTGCACCCGGAGAGCAGCACCCAGGATGTTGTCCACATACAGGGTACAACCTAAGGGGGGGGGCGCGTCAGGGTCGGGGCGGGGTTCAGGGTCAGGAGAGGGCAGCAGAGCTGAAGAGGAGGCCTGGTCTGTCACCAAGTGCAGTGTGACCTTGAGCAAGCCCCTTCTTTCCCTTGGCCTTAGTTTCTTCATCTGTGAAATGGGGCTAGTGATCCTTGCCCTGTCCACTTGGGGCATGCATGAGCGTGATGCAGAGAACAATGACGATGACAATGTCAGACCACGTGGTGGAAGTGCTTCTTCCAGGCTGAGCATTTCACGTATGTTATTTCACGCCATCATCACAACAGCCCAGCCCTAACCCATGTGCTACCAGGGTCACTTTGGTACTGATTGGACGTCTACATCCAAGGAGTCCTAGGCCCTCTGAAGGGAGCTGGGCCCCTGAAACTGCTTTCTGGAGGCACTCTCCTTGCTAGACTTTTATTCCCAGGTCTGGCCTCCAACACACTTCTTAAAAATAAGGCACAGAGGCACTAGGAGACTCAGAAACTGAATTACACATCTAAAGGCATCAGCCAGGATCAGAACTTTAGAAGCAGGTAGACCAAGCACCTTCCTCGAAATCCCAGTGACTAAGAAGGGCTTATTATTGAGGAGTAATGATGTCAGTTTGAGGACTAAGGTGCATTGGATTCAGACCATGGTCTTTCTAATTATTTGCATCTGAGACCTGGACAATGAATAAGGATGGCAGGAAAAGAATTGATGCCTTTGAGCTGTGGTGTCGGAGAATAGCACTGAGCATCCCATGGACGGCCAAGAAAACGAACAGATATGTCTTGGAGAGGGTGCAGCCAGAGTGCTCTTTGAATGCAAGAATGATGAGGCTTCACCTCACATTCTTTGAGCATTTTGCTAGGAGGGGCTATTTCTTGGGGAAGGACATGATGCTGGGAAGGGTGGAGGGTCCGCAAAGGAGAGGAAGACCCTTGACCAGGTGGATTGACACGGTGACTGCTGCAGTGGGCTCTTGTGTGTCGGGAAGTGTGAGGATGGTGCAGGATAGAACAGAGTTCAGATCTTTAGTTCATAGATTTCTATGAGTCATACTTAACTCGACAACATGGAGGGAGCCCAGGTCCTGGGTCCTGCCTGCACACGATTAATTTCACTTAATCCCCCGACTGTGAGGACAAGGCCAGAGCTGCAAGGTTTCGAGGACAGGCAGACTCTCTGCACTAAGAGCTGGACTCAGACCCCCGGCATCCCTGCGAACCCCAGGGAGGAAGCTGAGGCTCAGAGAAGTTAGTGACTTGCTCAAGGTCACACAGCTTGTCAGTGGTGGGGTCTAGCCCCCGGCCTTCTGCTCCTCACCCCCATCTGTTGCTGGTTTCCAGACCTGGAGAGCATCTACCTGCAGGACAGCTTCCTGAGCCACTCACAGGATGACAGTCTTCTGGCCTTCTCCTCTGGCCTCTCCCCCGATGGCTGGCCCTCACCCGAGGAACCCCCCAGCACAGCAGCTTGCCCGCAGCCCCCCAGCCCCGAGCAGCAGCATCGGCAGCGGCTTCCAGGGGGCCCCGGCCAGGGCTCACTGCCTTCAGTGGACAGCGGCTCCCTCTCCGAGGAGGAAGACGAGGTGTTCTATAACTGAGGCGGGGTTCACAGCCAGGACCTGGCCTGGTGGGCGCCGGGCACACTGGGGTTCTGGGCTGGGGAGCCCTCGAGTCCTCGGGAAGGCACAGGATGGGTGTGGCAGGGGTGAGGGCCAGCACTTGGGTGACCACTCTGTGCCTCCGTGGACCTGCCCCAGCAGTTGGGACTACACTTTTCCCCTTTCTTCTTCACCTGGCACCGGGGAACGTCCCAGGCCAGGCCTTCCACCGTCCTCAAAGACTCTCATAGCAGACACCAGGGCAGGCCACCCCACAGGGGCTGACAGCCAGTCACAGGTAGGCGAACCGAGGAAGAGGCTGGGACACCCACTTGGGGTGGGGTCTTGATCCTGGGGGCATAGCCCTTCCCTACTCCCTCTGGCTTCTGCCCCACAGTCCCAGGTGGGGTAGCCTCTTCTGGTAGCTAAGCACCCTCTTCTCCTCAGCTCTCTTCATCAGGACGACTGACTCTGTCTGGAATGTCTGTCCCCCTCTTACTTTCTAAACCTGTCTCCTGGGTGTCCCCATCCCCAGGGAGCCCACTCTCTCTCCTGTATCCTCTCCCACCTCCTCTGAGGTTCTCTAAAGACATTAAAGTGATGGCTTCATCCTGGATGACCCCTTGGGTTCACCTCTGCTGGAGAAGGCTTGTCCTTGGGCCCCTGGGAGGGGGGCCTAGAAGGACACACACACCCATCCTGGGGAGACCCCATGGAGGGTGCCCAGGGGCTACATGGGGGTCCTGTTCTATCAGCCTTCAATCAGTCAAGAAAGAGGGAGGGACCACCAGTTTCCATTGTATTGTCATGAATGCCATAGACCCTGGTAAGAACACAGGCTGGGGCTCTGCCCTAAGGACCCTCTCTCCCACATCTCCCTACCAGGAAGTGGAGAGGAAGAGGGAACCAGGGTCCCAGAACGTCAATGCCTTTGACAATCAGGAACCCCAAGAGCTCACACAAGGGTTCAGGCAGGTATGATGCCAGATAAATACCATTGGAAATAAGATGAGAGATATACAGAAAGTAAAGCTCTGGGTGAGCTTTATTTATCTTGGTAGCTCCTGGTTGGGTATCAGACAACCCTCATATGACAGTGTAAGTCTTCATTCATGAGTTTGACAACTGTTTATTGAACACGCACTGTTACAGTGGCTTTCTGGGGTCCAGCTCCCTGAGCTCTGTCCAGGGTGGAGTTTGCCCATAAGCTCATGTAGTAGGTGCCCCAGTGAACAGGCTACATAATTTGTTGTGCCAAGAAACTGAGCTGGGTTGGGGGCACGGGGGGGGGGCGTTTGTGATGGAATGTAGGGAGGCAGAGTCTTCGCCCAACCTCTGTCTCTAAGCAACTGCCTCGACAGGCTGTCTGGTTCACTTTGGGGCCGGGGGATTTGTCAGGTTAGAAATTGCTTTCTTCAACTAGAACAGAAAGAGAAGGATTTTTGAAGGGAGGGTATAGGGGCAGTTAAGAGGGAGGACTCCAGCTTTATTTGACTCCATCAGGGTTGGATTTGGGATAAATGTTAGAGCCAGTGCTTCTCACTGCACAGACGGGATCATGAAGTCTGAAGAGTGTCAGGGTAATAACAATAGATAAGACCAGCTGGATAGTCTGGGATCTGACAGGAGGACAGGGACAGGAAGAGGTGGTCATAAGGATCGCAGGAACCCTGCTCCCAAATTTGGTTGGGAAGATTTTTATGCCCCTCCCACAGCCAGCTCGTGCATAGAGCCTCCAATTCACTCCACCCTGAGGGGCCCTCGTACCTCCACCCAGGACACAAAGCCCACAGCTTTGCCCCGAGAAGTCACGAAAAGAGACTGAAGGTTCATCAGCTCAAAGAGGTTGTGTGCCTGGAAGCGGATGTCAAGAAGCATCAATGGGGAGATGCCAACCCCGAGAGGGGTGTCCATCCCGCCCCTCTGACTGCAAGGTGCCCAGGTCGATGGCTCTGAGCAGAGGTGGGAGGCTTGGCCAAAGGTGCCGCACCTCTCACCTTTTGAGGAAGACTTGGGACCCAGACTTGCAATGTGAAATAAAACCACCAGGGGTCCCCACACTCCATGCAGGAAACAAACTCAAATTCTAAATTGGTTCAAATTTGAACACTCAAATGTGAAGGACCTGCCTGCCTTCCAATGGCAAAGCTGGATGAGGATTACTCCAGGGTCCCTACCCTGCTTCTGCCCCTCCTCAATCCTATGTGCCAGGTTTTGTGGGGGGAGCAGGACAGAGGCCACTTGGTGTTAAAATGTCTAAATAATTTGGCCAGCTGCACACAGGAAGGTCGCATGTGGTGAACTGAAAGCCTCATGTGTGCTTTGATGCAAAACCCCATATTTTTAACCAATGTCTTTCTCCACCTGTAATTCATTGCCAAGGAGCTGACTCCAATTCATAGTGACCCTACAGAACAGAGTGAAACTGCCCTATCATAAGGGGGAATGAAAGACTTTCAAGGCTTTATATCTTTATTGTAGCAGATGGTCACATCTCCCTCCCATGGACCCACTAGTGAGTTTGAACTACTGACCTTTCAGTTACTAGCCACTGTCCCACTTTCCCTCAGCTTCCTGCTTCCCGTGTTCCTGCCCACCTGGTTAGTCTATCCAGACCTGACACACCCCTCTCTCCCTCTCTGACCAAGATCAAATCCTGCCAGAGGAGATCCATTATCCTTTCATGGTCAGGTTCTGACAGAGCACCTTCTATCCCAGCTCCTCTCTGTCCACCCAGGGGCTTCTATGCCCTAAGCCTGCCCACATCTCTGGTCCTTTTGCATCGTCCTGACACCCCTAGGAGTGAGACACAGACCAGGCAGGCCCTGCTCCGTCCACTCTGTGGATAAAGTGTGGACAGCAGTGTAGCCGGCGGGGAGACTAGAAGCTAAGTTTCCTCCCCAAGTTTTTGTCATCTACCCCCAAGGGCCTCATCTTCCCCCATGCCCAGATGGCTTCCAGTACCTGGTGCAGGGACATTTCTGGGGACAGCTGCAGGGTCACAGGCTCCACAGGACAGCCACCAGCCAAGATGTCCTGGAAACACCTCTGGAGAGAGGAGAGTTTTGGGGCCAGTCCAGCCTCCTCCAGGATCCCCCTCTTGGACCACCTCACCATAGGTCAGATTGGTCCTTTCTCTCCTCCTATTTCCCCCTAACTTCATCCGACACCTCACTAGCGCCCACCTGGTGTTCTGGAGGCCAAGAAGTTGGTTCAGCCTGGAGGGCCTGCATCAACTGGGCCCTTCGCACAAAGCCCACCAGGATTTGGGACTCTAGACAAGTGGAGAGGGAGAGAGTAGCATTTTAAAGCAGAGACAACTCTGTGTTGGGCCTTGTCGCCCAGGAACCTCTGAGAGTGGAGGCCCAGGCCCAGCATCATTGCCACCCACATCACAGGCGAGGAGAGGCCAAGTGTGGTAACACTTCTTTAAGCTTACATATTTTAGACAAGAGCCATCGTTTATATATCTTAAAAATATTTATATTCTAATGGCTACAGGGTTTGGGTGGAGGAGACTTCAAGTACCCAGGGTGACTTGAAGGGGACCCTGAATGAAAGAACCCTTCAGGAAGGACTGTAGTGGTGTCTATTACCATCTCTACCTTCCAAACTCACAGGGCCTGCTTCCCCGGAATTTACTTACAAAGATGGTTAATAATTCTAATAGTACCACCCTCTGGCATTTGGCAAGCACCCTCTCTCTCATTTAAGTGCATCAGCTACCTCAAGGCAGAGTGGTTATTATTTCCATTTGTTAATAAGGAAACAGGCTCAGAGAGGTGATGTGACTTGCCCAAGGTCACACAGCCTATTAAGTCGCAGAACCTGGATTTAGATTCGGATCTGCCTGACAGCTCCAATGCTGGGCCTTTCCTTTCTTGGGCCAAGAGATAAAGCCCAGGGACTGCTCCCTCCCCACTTCCCACTGGCACCTGTGCTCTCCGTCAGAGGGAACTCAGCCACATCTGTAGAGGTCACGACCTTGACCACCTCTTCCAGGGGTGTGTCCTTGGCCAGCGTGGTGATGGCGCAGTTCATGAAGTGTTCCACAATCACGCCTTCGGAGCTGTGGATGGAGGGTTGGGATGAGAGGATGTCCTGATGAGGCAGGGTGCCTAGGGAGCTTTGATGGGACCTGGGACCTGTGGTTCTCAAGAGTGGACAGAGACAGGGGTTCCTGGAGTGAGGAGCCCCAAGGTGGACAGACACCTGGTCCCATCTTGCTTAGCGGCCTGTTCTCTGTGCCCTGTGCCCCCCAACCAGCCCTCCTCTGCTGGTCAGGGGAGGCAGCGTCCTCTCGTCTCATCCAACAGGGGCCCTGAAGAATTTCAATTTTAGAAAACTTCTATGCTCCCCATAAAAAGTAACCACTTAAAAACCATTGGAGTAACTACCCCATTTTGCTGAAACTGAAACTTGCAACAAGGCAGCAGCTTGCAGAAATTTGGACCTGGGTCTTGGATTTGTGGCTATCAGAGCCTCTCAGTTCTGCTTCTCCTGAGCCGATCCTATCTGGTCAAGTGACGACCTCCAAGTCCATTTCCTTCCTCCAGTTCTCAACACCCCATAAAAACAATAGGACATGACTTGGGGTCATAGCTTTTCTGATCTAGTTCTGACTCGAAAGACTTGGAGTAACACATAGAATGTCCCTACATTCCAATATCTTAGTCCAACAGGTGTGAAAATGTAATCCCTAGGTGATGTGGATGAATCTGGCTGCTTACAAAAAGGCTGGAGGTTCAAACCAACCTAGAACAACCTCAGAAGACTGGCCTTGCACTTGGAGTTCATGTGTACCCACAGGAGAACTATGGTTCTGGTCTGACACACACACATGGGCTATAGTGGACTGGAATCGATTTGATAACATCTAGAGGTGGTGGTGGTTGGGAAAGGTGGGGAAAGTTGTGGTGATGGACCAGGATGTAGTGATTTTGCTGGTGAAGGTGATGGAGATGCAGTTGGTGGAAGGTGCAGGTGGTGGAGGTGTTGATGGTGGTGGTGGTAGAGGTGCTAGTGATAATGGAAATGGTGGAAGAAATGGTGGTGCTGAAAGAAGTGGTGATAGATAAGGAGGCGGGAGAGGTGGTGGTGGTGGAAGATGTAGTGGTAGTGGTGGGAGAGGTAGTGGTGGTGGGAGAGGTGGAGAGGTGGTGGTGGTGGGAGAGGT